TTATTCATATAAAAATATTAAAGAGACGAAACTTTTGACGAAATTACAATTTTTCAAAAAAGAGTTTAATCAGGTATCACTAGTAGCAATATTTTTTTTATATCTAATATAATATTCTGAAATAATTTATTAAATAAGATATACAGGAAAAATGTATTATTTCAAATATATAGGATATACAAAATATATAGGAAGAATATATTTCAGATAAACAGGATATATAGGATGTAAAGGAAAATATATTTCAGATAAATAGGATATACAGGATATATAGGATGTATAGAAAGAATATATCATTCTGAATAAACAGGATGAATGTATTATCTCAGAATTTTATTTGTATATTTTTTTCTGCTATATAACCATGCCAATATTATGTCTAATATGCGTATACTGAAAGATATAAAAGATAGAGAATATCAGCTAGGTAGTACATATGAGCAAGAGCACGAAAAAAAATTAAGATTCGCTATCAATTTTAACTCTGAAATTATTGACTTTAACAAAAAGTTGCAGGCTGAAAATTTGGAGTATTCAGGGTGAGAATCATGCTAATATCAGAAATAAGGTTAGCTAGCTAAATAATGCAAATACTAAGCTTACATCCTAAATTACTTATGAACAGATGTCCTGTACTGAGTTTGAAATCAAATATTCTGCTGAAATTAAATCGCTCAAATCCAATATTAAAACATTAAAGAGTTAGCACAGAAAGCTTCATCTTTGATAAGGTCAAGATCTTTTCTCTTGAAGCTAAGATAGTTGAATTAGAAGGTATATTGCTAGATCTGGAACTAGAATATGATTCGCATATGGTGGGAAAACTACTACCCAAATAGATTCATCTGCAATAGAATTCCTTAATTCAAAAAAATATGAAATAAAATGTATGAAAAAAGGGATAGAATCATCAAATAACGTATACAATTAGACAATAGATTCTTTATTTTTAACACAATCAAATTTACTCGAGAAAAATGCTCATCTTCAAGAATTACTGTTGAAGAAAAAGCTGAGAGGCACTTCACATATCGAAGTAGATACTCTATCCTGCTTATGAATAATTCGTCACAACCTTTCGCTCTTAATTCTCCTATATTTCAGACAATTTCTGTAAGTGGTGTAGAAGCAGTTCCAGCTATCCCTATTGTTGCAGAATCCTTAATGTCACTGATATTAATATATACTATGCTTACCTTATTACTTCTCACAATTATATGACTCATGATTAGGAAAAGGATATGAGTTCATGGAAAAAAGTAATACTGAGTATTCTCTTAACCGAAACTATTTTTTTATCATTTCCAGACATTTCTGAGGTCAGGTTATATAATCGAAGGCCAGAAGATCAAATATAGGAATTGAATTTATTGCATAAGAAAAAATATATAAATAATATTGTAAGTTTCTTAGCTAAAATTGTCACATCTCGCTAAAAGAACCTAGAAAGTCTACCGTAAGCTTTTTATATATTTTTCAAGGTAGTTTTTTGCTTTTTTCTGAAAATAGATATCAATTTGTTTTTTCCTTTTATCTGAATCCTTGATCTGCATTATTTTATCTGATAGAAGCGGTTGATAACTATCATCTTCATTAATAAAGCATGCGTATATTGCTGTTATTGTTTCTAAGTAATAATTGATATCTATTTTCATATTTTGCTCTTTTGCGATATCTGCATACTTCATAAAATCGCCAACTTTATGTTGCTCCTTTCTACCTTCTTTATTATAAAGAGATGGACCTTTTACAATAATATAACTAAAACATTCACTGGAATCAGGAATCCTCTTATTTCTTTCTCTCATACATCTCATAAAGCGATTGTTGCAGAGATTTTTTTCTTAGGCTTCCATGTATCCATTACGATAAATTCATTGAAATCCTATTCCTTGTTCTGAGTTTCTCTAAAAGTATTTTCAACAATTTTGTGAATTGGACACATATTATTTATATCTATAGCCTCTCTCATAATCTTTTCTCCAATGAATTTGAGAAGCTGGGATTTACCTTGCTTTACAGTTTCTATCCCTTTCATGAAAAGTTTTTTCAGCTTAAAGTTTACTATATCTTCATGTCCAACCCTAAAGTACTTCTTTTTACCAGTAAAACAGATAGAAAATAATACCTCTTCATATGCTATCTTTAGATAAGACGTCCCACTTTTTATCCTAAAATAAGTGTTTACTTAATTGCTCATCACATATATAGTAATTTTTACCATTTCAATCTAGTACGTTTCTTTGGAAAGTTCCTTTCTGAAGAAGGCTTCATCACATTTCTTATAATACCTATCCAGGCAGGTAAGATACAAAGAATCAGTATCCCATATTTTATTCCAAACCCTTTCTTTGATACGAATTCAGCAATAAGATTAAGATTGTATTTTTCTGCTATAGTAGTTTTACAGGCTAATTCACGAAGAAAGATTTAAGATAATGAGTTTCTAGCTTTTCATAAAAAGTGTTCATGTATACCTTCAAAGCTTTTTATTTTAAATCCCAATAATTGTAATCAAAGCATACAGATGAGTATTCTAAATTTAAGCTTTTTAGAATCTTTTTGCCTCTTTCTTTAACTGAACTTATCATCTTTCCAATATGTTGTTTTTTCTTTCCTAGTGGGGTTAGATATACTTTAAGATCCAACCTCTTGTTAAATAAATCCTCCAATACAATCATATATAGGCCTTTCTTTTCCGTTTAGCTATCATGGCGAACATACCAAGCTTGGATGATATGTTTATTAAACAAAAAACTCAATCTTATGCAAGTTATTTGCGTAATATTGGCATCATTTGAATTAAATATAAATTTTTCTGGGGAGAGGTTATATGCCATGATAATACTAGGATATAATGAAGCAAAATCCAATCCTTTTACAGGTTTTTCATTTTCAATCCCTTTTTTAGGTGAAAATATGTATGCATCAGGATATTTCCCTTTTTCTATATTTTTAGGAATCCTTGTACTAATTACCAAATCTCGTTTGATAGCATAAATGTCGAGAAGGTTCTGTACCTTCATTTCATTTGCACGATAGTGTGTGTCAAAAAGAGAAACATAAGCTATAGAAGCAACTTCTCTATAATCATTTATTATACTTTAGTTTACCAAAAGCTCTTGACAGCGTAATGCATCTATAATACAGTAATGTGCCACTTTACTCATATTTCTTGCGGTTGATGAGGAGGAGCTTTTTTTCACCTCTGAATATATTTTTCACATTTTATCATATGGTATGTCAGCCTTACTATCAAGATCATACTTTTGTAAGAAAAATTTAATTGAACTTTTCTTTTCGACTTAAGAACATGGAAAATATTTTTTGAGTCATACTCAGACATCAATCAGTATGCAACCTAGCAGTTTAAGAAAGCTAGAAGTAAAATCATCTTCTGCATTAATTTTGACCTTAATTGGACTGCTTATATATTCCTTTTTCTCCAGATCCTTCTCACCTTCATCAGAATGCTTAACAATATTCTTTGCCTTAAAAGCATTTTTAGAATTCTCTTTTATTTTTTTACAATATCTTCACTTTAGGATTTCTTCCTTTGTTTGAACTTTCCTGTCATTCACTTCCACATCCATTCGATTATGTTAAGGTGATAGGCTCTTTCCATAATGAAATGCCAATCATAGTCTGAATCGTTGAACACAACTAGGATATTAGAGGCAAATGCTCACCAGCAGAGGGCAAAAGCTTTTAGCAGATTTTCTTGATTTCCACATATGATCGTGGATCTGGTTCCGTCTCAACATCGACAAGATATATTTGCTTTAGTGATTTTAGATCATCTTTCCAATGCAGTGTCATGCCAATCATAAATCATTATGATTCAGATCAAGAACTTTGGTAAATTCACCCAACTCTCACAATTAGAGTTGGTAAAAGTACTAATAAGTTCTAATTGGTCTTAAAGAATTTAAAGATAATTTTATTTTATATACTATTAATTAAATTTTTTAATAAT